AGCCCTCTGTACCTCCAGCAAGAGCTGGTCAGCTGATCTAAGGCACCGGGAGGGACTATAAGGAAATAAAAGCTCAGCAAGATACAATGGAGCAAGACCATTTAAAGTCTTTAAAACAAATAAAAGAATCTTAAAATGAATCCTGAAAGACACTGGAAGCCAATATAGGAGTTATATGCTCCCTTTTACGCACCCCAGCCAAGAGACAGGCAGCCACATTCTGAAGCAATTGTACACGAGTTGTAGACGAGCCAGTGACGACTGGCTGACTCCGACATAAAGAGGGTTACAGTAATCCAAACGCGATGTAATAAATGCATGGATTACTGTCTCAAAATGCTGGCGTGCAAGAAAAGGCTTTACCTTCGCTATCTGCCTAAGGCGGAAAAAACTAGATTTCACAACGGCAATAATTTGGCGATCAAACTTCAGATCAGAATCAATTTTTACGCCAAAATTCAGGATCGTCTGTTTCTCATACTGCTCCAGGTGACCGAAGTCAACTGAGGGTGGGTCACCAGACTTATTTGGGCCAAACACCGTTACTTCAGTCTTTGCCTCATTAAATTTTTACACATTTTGTGTCATCTAGTGCTTGACGTCATCAAGACACGCCAATAGTGGCCTAATTGAAAAGTTATCCCTCCTCTTTAGCAGCATATAAATCTGAATGTCATCAGCATAACAATGAAAAAGGGCACTATGCTTTCTCAGGGTAGAACCAAGAGGTAACAAATATAATGAGAACAGCAAAGGCCCCAGAATTGTTCCCTGCGGAACCCCACAAGACAGAGGGGATGATGAAGACTCAATGTCAGCAACGCCTACACACATGGACCTGCCAGACAAGTAAGACCTAAACCATTCCAGCGCAGTGCCCCTAATGCCCACGACATCTTGAAGCCGGGATATTAAAATACTGTGATCAACCGTATCAAAAGCCACAGTCAAATCCAACAGGACAAGGATCACATAATCATCGGCATCGGTTGCCAAGAATATATAATTAAAAACCCTTAATAAGGCAGACTTTGTACTATGTAAAGTTTAAAACCAGATTGGAAGACAGTTATCACAGCCATCCGTCCTTATCCTCAAATGTTTGGACTTACCAGCAGAACCAGCAACCGAATCTTATAATGGCTGTATTTTCAATGGTAGAAGCAATGTTATAACAATTTAATTTCCTAAACCCTTGTATATTTGTGTAGTCTTGTATGCAAACAACACAATTCTGGTAGTCTGCTGAGATGATGCTTCTGGCTTTGCAGGATTCCACTTGGTGTCTATCAGTTAGGACCAGGAATGCTGTCTGCAGACAGGAAACCTCCACTCCTTAACTGCTGTGTGCGTTTTATTTAAGATTACAACAGCAAAATGCAAACATTACCAACAACATCTGCCAGCTCTAGGCCACCAAAGGACCATCATTCTTTGTGATATGTTGGCTGAGTATAAGTACAGTTTTAGCACTGGCACCAGATGTTAGCCTAATGTATGCCTTTATCAAGCCATGTATTGCAAGGGTTGTAGATATCAGCAGCTCCCCTCTAGTTAAACTCATAATAAAGATGAACAATTCCAGATTCATGTCTGTGTATTCTGATTTTTTCATCCTACACTCTGCAGTCTTGCACTATGTCACTCAGGTAAATTTTGCAAGTGTAAGCATTGGCCAAAGATAGAACAGCATGAAGAGTAAATGTATGGCTGCTCCATCATTCCGATGTTTGCTTCGCCCATCTGGTGCATGTCAACTTGGAATCCTGGTCTCCATTTCTTGGTCCGTGGCATCAAATCTCAGAAGCTTCAGTCACACAGCAGCTGTAACACACACATATGCAATTTTACAAAACTAGGATGTAGGCAAAAATTCCGAGTTGGACATCAAGACCTGTAGTGTAAAGCCAGCTTTGAATACACATTTACGTACTGAATTATCCGTTACTGAACAACGATGAATTCGCGGTAAAAGTAACACTAGTTCAACAGTACCAAAATACTCTTTAAACCAACAGCAAGTACTTGAAATCATCACAGTATGAACACAATATGCTCACATGTATGAAAAGTGAGCATATTAACTTGTGTGCATAACACAGGCACATATACAGTTGTTCAGAACTTTCAGCTACAGAAACCATTCAAATATTGAAGAATTTGCCAGTAGAAAAGGTGTTAAATACTATTAAAAGAATTATAGCCTATGAATATTCATAAGCTACATTTTATAGTACATTTAGTGCAGTTTTATGCTGCTCAAGTCTTTAAAGCTGCATTATAATCAATCCCACTAAGAACAATTGACAAATGTGCATAAAGCTGACACCATGTGTCTCAGCATATCAATTCACGACCATGTCACTTCTTTCAATATGTCTGTCACACAGCATGGCACCTGTCACATCAGGCTTCCGGTCCATGTTGGCATAAAACTGTCAATAATGTCGATGGTCAATTATAAGGACCGATGAATAAAAGCAGAACACGCTGTCTTTAATAAGAGTACTGGTCACAAAACAGAGGTGGGTAGAGTAGCCAAAAATTGTACTCAAGTAAGAGTAGCTGTACTTCAAAATAATATTACTCAAGTAAAAAAAAAAGTACTCACCCAAAATATCTAAAACATTGCATCAAATTTAAGACTGCAAAAAGACATTGGAACACTATCTTCTCTTGAAACAGCAGCAACATCAGTGAACAGTTTGGTATAGCCTTTCAACATTCATAAATGTATCATCGCTTTGTCATTTGTTTGCTTAGTTCCTATCTGGTGCATTTTGAAGTCATTTTGTAATCCTGGTCTCAGTTTCTTGGTCCGTGGCATCAGATGTCAGATGATTATGTTGCACAGCATCTATAACACACACATATGCAATTTTAAAAAAATAAGATATAGGACAGAATTCAGAATTAGACATCAAGATCTGTAGTGTTAACCCAGCCATAAAAAAGTGCATAGTCAGAGTGAATCTGTGAGGAAGTCAGTAAGTCACACATATCAATCCTCACATGTTGATATTCTTGGTGAGAAAGTGGGTTAATGTTACACCTATGACTCTCTTTACACACTCTTTAATGTCTCCTCCACCTTTAAGAGCCAGTGTTTTTCAGTGAATTGATATTTGTTAGTTGATCAGCAGTAATGCCCTAACCCTTTCAAACATGTCTCAAATTATCAGGCAAAAATCTGAACTGATCTGATAGTCTGAGCAGCATGTGACCTATGAAAAAAAAACATTAATAATTTATAAAGTAAAATAAAACATCTACAGAAT